CCGTGAAATTGACTCTAGAATCAGGACATGAGTGAATCGGAGACGAGTAGAGCGGAATGATCCTTCCAGCATACGATTGTCGTACTCGATGTCAGTAGTGAGCTTACTATAGATGACTCCAACCAGACACCTCGAGGTGGTAGATAATCTTAGTGAGCACCATGCTGATTCATCAAGGTTGACAGACTCTTGGTTGTGCAATTGATGTACCTCCAGGCAGGATCGTAAATATAAGGTTGATCCACCCCTAATTCCCGTTTTTCTATCATTGCGAGACAAAGACAACCCGGATATTGATAGCTCCTGGTGTGTAAACTGAGAAGATATCCAAGTTTCAGATATTTCTGTCAGATAAGCATGATCAGGATTGCTGAGTTCACGTAGCTCATCCATTTTATTTGGTAAACTCGCGGAGTCCATGTATGAGCACTTTGTGCTGTCAGTCTGAAACGCGTGAGCTTCTCTGTCCTGTTTGTCTGTATGAGCCTTACGTCAATGGACAGGTAGCCTACCTATACAAGGTCTTCTGAGTTTATAGCCTCTGTCCTTTTCACGTTTTTTTATGATCAAGACAGTCCACAAGTGGGATGGTCAGCTCCAACTTGCCTTCATGTTTAATCCTGACGTCATATGGCATATCCAGATGCATATGGGTTCCAGTTGGCAACCGACGTCTGTTGGCACGAAATGCTTCCAGAGCTGCAGCCATCATATGAGAGGATGGGGAAGTTATCTTCATGAACCGGGGTCTAGAACCTCTGTTCTTCTTCGCCAGTTTCATCACTTGTTGAATCAGTATGTTTTTGAGCTTCAAGGATTGCTTAATGAACTTCCATTCCCTAAGATCGGAATTTATGTGACCAGGGTCAATGTTTCCTGGTACACTTTGCACAGTGATATTTCTCCCAAGGAAAAACTCGTGAGATTTGTTAGGGATGTTCCGGATGAGACTGAGCTCAGAATACGGTATATCAGGCAGTATTCTTACTTTGCCATTTGGTTTCAGTAAGTGACTAGCTACTAGGATATCCTCTACGTCGGTAGCACTAGTGAGTGTTACACGAAGTAGCCTCGATTGGTCTTGATGCTTAAAGTCCTTTCCCAGAGTGAGCCATGTGACCGTCAAAGGCTCTATTCTAAGGACTTCAAGGTTCTCGTTCAACTCTTTCAGGGTTGCCTTAAGGGTTCATGATTATGAGGGAATCATCACGAACCTTTATTGTTTTTCCGGGCTTCCGGTTGCTTTCAGGTTGAGGACCTCGTTGTTTCGGAGTCGAAGGGCGTTTCCGATTTCTAGGCTCTTTGGTGACTGGACGGAGATTCTTAGGGGTAGACAAAGTGTCCAAATTCAGCACTGTTTTGTGGTTAAAATATTTGTTAAATGGATTTGTTCCTCAGTCTTCTGTAGTAAGGATGGTAGGTTGGTGAAAATGCATTAATCCTGACAGATTGCCCTTCAATGAGGGTTCAGCTTCTCCTTGAAAATATTCGCTGATGGGGCTGATACCACTTGTTCGAGTAAATTGTTCCAGTCATTGACTACTCGATGGAAAAACGGGAGGCCATCTTAAGTTTATTAAATCGCGGTTTCCAAGGAATCGAACTTCTTAAACTTCCCCAGCTTCAAAAGGAAGACACTGATCTTCAGCACGAGTTATGTCAATAACCCTAAAACTGCGCATTAAACAGATGGGAACAGGTAAGGAAACCTTACTATGTGACACATCTACAGGTAGGGATTACACAATCGTGCCGAAAATTTATCGACGCAACGTCTTCAATAAGTTTCACAAACTTTCTCATCCAGGTGTTCGCACAGCCATCAAGCTCATAGCAGAACAGTTTTGCTGGCCTGGCATGAATAAAGACGTGAGAGAGTGGGCACGCTCCTGTGTAAGCTGCTAAAATTCTAAGATTATTAGACACAACAAATGTCCCTTAGGCTCTTTCAAAACTCCAGATGCTCGTTTCGACCATGTTCATCTGGATTAGGTAGGCATTTGCCAGATTTAAATGGACACTCTTATCTCTTAACCTGCGTAGAACGTTTCACTCGATGGCCAGAAGCAGTACCTATCAAGGACATCACTGCTGAAACAGTGGCCCGCACCTTCGTCGAAAGATGGGTAGCAAACTTCAGCTACCCTCGAACCATCACTACAGATCGCGGACGTTAGTTCGAATCCGAACTTTTCCGTTGTCTGACCGCACTATTAGGTAACACTCACTTCCGAACGACTGCCTACCACCCACAAGCGAACGGGTTAATAGAACGCATTCACCGACAACTAAAAGCTCCACCATCAGCTGCAAACATTTCTCAGTGGAGTGACGCTCTTCCACCCTTCTTACTAGTTATTCTCAATGCAGTGAAAACTGACATTGGATACACTGCAGCTCAACTCCTTTATGGAACAACACTTCGACTTCCAGGAGAATTCGGGGATTCGTCATCTTCAATGAACATGTATCTAACCTCCTACACGAACAGGCTTACAAACGCAAAGCATTCGGTTAAACCTTTTTCCACTCGACCGAAATCAACCGGTGTTTTTGTTCAACCTGACTTACGATATAGTACATACGTCTTCGTTCGTCGAGACTCGCATCGACGACCTCTCGAATCAGCGTACGAAGGACCTTTCACAGGTGTTCAACGTGGACCCAAGTACTACATAGTCGATAACAACGGAACCAATGATAGCATCAGTATCGATCGGTTCAAAGCTGCGTATTTAGATGGAAATCCTATCCACGTCGATTTTCCTTCGGTACAATCGAACGACACGGCTCCGAAACTTATAATACCTCATCCGACAGCCAACACGCACGATGATACTTCGACAGTATCTTAAAATAAACTTAAAACAACGCGTTCTGGAAGAAGAGTAAGATTTCCAAAACATTTAAACGACTATTGCACGCAAGACACTGGTTAACATTTTGCTTCATCTCCATTTTCCATGGCATTATATATAATATTAAAAAATAAATTTTTATATGCTTATATTTATATATATTTATTATGTTGCTAATATGGATACTAAAAAAATTTTTTTAAACAAAGGAAAATTTTGCAAAAATCATTTTTACGCCGCTTTCCTTTTTCGCCCACTTTGTGTCTTAACGCGCGTACGAGTTTATTTCGACATGTACCTACATATTATATTTTTTCGTGGACGACTGGAAAAGACGATAAAAAGAACGATGAGGTTTACGAGGAACCAAAAGTTTCATTGTATATTATTTTTTTCACTATATTGTAATGCATGTTCTCCTACAGTAAGGAGAGACGACCAGACGCTGCTAAATCTAGAAAGCTATCAGAAGAATGCTTACCAACGACAAATTCGTTAGGTTTGAACTTCTGGCTGGCCACGTCTTAGGGTAATCAATACCCCACTAAGGGGAGAGTGATCTGTAGTGGTAACTAAATCCCTGAAATAAATAGCTCTTTAATTGTTCGACATTGGATGCTGACCACATTAGTTTCACTGGACTCACCTAGCAGAAGGCGCTCGGGCATGCATCCGCACCAGATCACGAGTGGAAACGCCGTGCTCGACAACCCCTGCAATCGCTAGTCAGATTAGATCAGACGACCCTCGATACATTGATAACCTATCAAATATATCTTCGAAACTCCTCGCTTCTGTCTTTTGATTTCACTTGGTGGATACGCTTCATATAAGAAGGTGTTTCTGGTTAAAGTGTTGTCAAACTCCGAATACTTGTGACATCTTCAACATATTAACACCCAAATCATAATTAAAGATACGAAGTGCCAGTATGAGGTCACATTGTGTCCTACGATACGACAAATGGAAAAGTTTTAGGTGTTTTAAGTGCTAATCGCAAGGGAGTTTAGAAAAACCCTTCAGTAATTTTGTTCTTACACGCTGAACACACTCAAGTGAGTTAGTATTCTTTATCGGACATGGGCTAGCTGTTTGGGTATAGTACTCTAAGTGTGGTCTTATATATGGGATATAAAATTCGAAACATCTCCTCATCAAGGCATTTGAATACTCGGCAAAGGGACCATAACGCATGATAGCCCTCAGGAAAAGCTTCGTTACAACGCGTAGTTGTTTTCAAGTCATGACTTATTATTACTACTAAGTCTTTATGTTTTTCCACGCGTGGACGAGATGTACCATCAATAGTCTAATGGTAACTATTACCGTGTCCGATGAGCGTCACCACATTACTTCTAGAATTAGCTTCTAAGCCCCAACCTCGAGCCCATCTAACCAATTCGTCTAAGTCGGCTTGGAGTTAAAAATTATCAGCCTCACTTTTATTGTTCGCCAGATTTTTGCATCATCCGCAACAGTGATAATTTACTAATGTAGAGGAGGAAAAGTAGAGGGCCTCAGATGGTACCTTGGTGTACACAACGTTTGACCGGCTGCCATTCGGATAGCGTTCCACTGACCCTCATATTCTGTCTGCTGTCACATAATAAATTTCCTATCCATTCTTGTACAGCAACTGTTATTCCGAAACTGGAGAGCTTCTGCATAAGACTCCAGTGTGATACCTTGCCAAATGCTTTGCTAAAATATATGAATATAACATCGATAGACAGACCGTTATCTAGGGCTTCTGTCCAGTTCTCTCTCACAATATGTTAGTCAAGCATGAACTCTTGTTACGAAATCTATGTTCTTTGGGAGTCAACAGATTGTGCGGATCTATGTGACTCAGCAACTTAACCCGAATTATCTTTTCAAGTAACTTAAAGACTATGCTGGTTAGACTAGCAGGTCGGTAGTTAGATACGATCTGTCTCGGATCATCCTTAAATATTTGTCATTCACTAAATGATCGACAATACCTGGATTATCAGTGAAACTTTAGGGACTATGAGTAGGTTTCAATAAGTTATTTGATCTAAAGATTGATACTTATCGGCTGACCTACAATACCCATTACGGTAGACTGAAAACATTTAGATTGAAACATTGTGTGTCTTTTAAGTTTGTACGCTACGTCCTATGGCAAATATTCCGCGTTTTGGGGTTTCTGCTAAGTATAGAGGAAAAGGTGAACTAAAAATTATAATCTTGATCTTCCATTTAGTTGATGCTGAAGAGACTAACACGACTAAGAGCGGTTCACGTTATTTTTCCGGTTCATCAACAAACTCCCATACTGGTAGTTCTCGGGCTGAAGATGTTAGTCGATCAGACAGTGTTTACAGCTCGGTGAGATATTCATCATTGGTCTCTTTGTTATCGTTGACTTTTTGTCTGTGTAACAAGAGAAAACCATATATGTGCAAGTGAACAGTATAAATGCTTTTCTGGAAGTTAATCTAAAATGTTAATCTGTCGTTTCGTTCTCGCAAGTGCTTGCCTTAAAAGTTAATAAGGACTAATTCATCAAACTCGAGTGATCTCATAATTTTTCAGTCGGCTTCAGTAAATATTAGAATGACATCTGATAAATTCGAGGTTTTTGTCAATATTAACTAGTCATCGAAACCCGTTAAGGGCTGTAGCTTGGCATCCTACCCTCAAAATTAGTTTGCTGGTTCATGTGTCTACAAATCGAGTGCATTTAGGTAGCAATTCATGGGTATACACTAAGGCTCTTTAAGCATTTGAATCAGGTTTACAGGACTGCGGTGGCTGACCCAGTGATATGGTTATCTTAAGAGCTAAAAACGTTTAATTAAACGAATTTTCGCCTTCATTTCGGCCGTTTTCGCTTTCATCTTAGTGTTGCAGCTACTGAAGGGATAGTATTAACCACAACGTCCAACTTAAGTGATGGTTTTTTCGGGTTTCTATCATACATTCACTTCATTTTCTTATGCTTCAAATGATGAAAGTACAAAATCGTTCTCCTTCTCCTTGCGCTTCATTCATAAAACCACTAGTCAGATTAATAGTCCGTTTATATCCATCAACTTGCTCTTTTGAAGTTGATTTCCACTCACAGGTAAAATGAACAATAGAGTTAGGCTTTTCAAACGAGTTCATAACCCACTACTGACTATGCACTACTTATTATCTGACGAAAATTGCATGAACGTGGAAGGCAGCACTGACCATTAGTATATACTCTGGTGACTTTTATCTAAGTTAATTATAACATCTTGGGTGTATCGTTAGGGAGATTATGGGTCTGAATGACTTCAGTCATCAATAGTTAGTCAAATGTAATGTCAGCGTACTCTATACTTTTATTTCGTCCTAGAAATCAAGCCGACGTCGTAAGTGCAACGAAGCCAGTCTTATTTTGTCTGTCTACTTAAATGTCTTTACAATTAGTTTCTGATATTTATCGCATCTGTTTATATCTTTGAATTCTCAAGTAAAACATCATTTTCGAGAGAAAAACACAGAAGCTAATGGTTTCATTTAGAGGAATCATATTGCGTACCCGTTCCCAGTAGACCCTCGAAACTGGCTTATGCGTAGTAGAACTAAGTTTCTGTTTCACCTCTTTAATCACTAATTTTGATCAATTATAAGTCGATGATTAAATGAGGACTTTCTCTAACTTGATTTTCATGTGCTGCCAGTCTTTGTCACCTCATCAAATTAGGGAATTACAAGCCTGTTATTTTTTACTATTTAGTTTAGTTGTTTCTGACATTATGTATTGATACCCAAAATCATTCACAATGACATGAATGTTTGCGCTTTATCTTGTGAACATTTCGTAATTATTTACTTTCTGTTTCTCCATATCATTCGTTTTTCGGTGTATTTTTTGTTTCTCGTGTACTACTGTTGTCACGTATTTCTTATCTAGTGGTTTTTCTCTTACTGATCTCTTGTTGAAATAAGATTTGGAGGCTTAGACTGGTAAACATTTTTCTAGGTCTTATGCTGTTAGTTTCTATTCGCAGGATATGAATCAAATCTGAGTTGTTATCACAAATAATATGGTTTTGTGGTTCATAATATTATATTAGTTTATTTCAAACAGAAGTTTTCCAGATTAGCTGTAAGGATTTGTGATGATACTTTTTCGTAGGGAAGTTCCTGTGGTCATTTTATCTCACTATTTATAGGTCGCGTTATTAAATTTAGATGGAGTTTTGTAGTTTTTAGCAAAAATCCTCTAGGGAAGGATCTCTCGGGTCCAATTTCGTCTTATTTTTTGGAAAGACGATGAAACATATCCTTAAGCTAAGTACTCATAATAATTTATTTGAAGTCAAATATTTATAATCCGTATTTAGTTATGATTATGTGTGATAAGGTTTACAATAACTATTACTTATCGAATATAGTAATAATCAGGTATAAATGGATAGACGGAAGCATTTTATTCTTATCCACGAATTGGAAAAGGAAGTCCCATAAGGTCGCCCATGAATCATAGAAAATTGATAACGATTAGTAATTATAAGAAAGGAAGGATCTAAAAGTATTATCAGTCATTCAAACGCAACGTAGAATTTGGCACATGTGTACCTGGGTCCAGGTTGCTACATCTTATTAGCTTTGCGAAATGAAATCGGGGTAAATCCAGTGGTAGTAGGGGTAGTAAGTGTTAATGGCAATACAAAAGATCAGGCATCCAAGATACATTCAAGAGAATATGGGTTTAGTATGAATAAAAATGTTTCACAAGGCAATTTAGAAATTCAAGTTCCACTTAAGGACGGAGTAAATGTACCTGCGTCATTTTGAGCGATTCCGAGCAATGAGACCCAGTCTCTGACCACTAATTACAAATTTTATCGGACCCTAACCGGGTAGTCCGAACTTATGTACATGACCTAGTCCAACACGATCTCCATGAAGTGATGCAAAATTTAGTTTGATCACTCACAGTATCCTTCCGATCAACCACTAAACTAGCCGTCATCGTGTATTGAGGCAGTCAGTGGATTAGCATACGTAATCCATGTCCTAACCGTCTCGCTCAAAAAAGATTTATTACCTTGTCAATCGATCTGTCATACCTAACTAGCACTTCGCGTCTAACTTCAGGACTGCTAACTCGATGGTCGCAGCATATATGAGCGTCTTCACCAAACTAGGCTAGAACGATCATAACTTTGTATAATTGGAAACTACCACTTTCCCATCACTTTAATAGACTGATAATGTTGCAGAAAGGTGGTGGTATTTTAAGCTATGTTCAAAAAAGGAACGAAAATGGTGAGCTTCTTTTCGCACACAATTTGGATTCCCCTACGTGCATAACAGGCTTCAAAAATGCAAAAGTGACAGAACCTCACTACCTTTTGAAGACCTATGTTGACGTTGTAGATAACTTTAAATAATCGGCCTGTTTTGCGTGAATGATTTATTCTCTCGATGTATTCCATCATTGCTTTTCTTTTGTAACCATACACAACAATGTTTCTGAACCCCCATCCAGAACACAGATAACTGGTTTATCGAGTTCTATAAGAACAGGGGGATTGATAAGTGGACATTGGAGTAGTCAGATGCAAGAGCTCGTCTTTTATTTCATTGAAGGACCTTGGCTTCAAAGTTACTGCAAAAAACGTTTTAGAGGGATTTGTAATGCTATTCTTTAGGATTTCTGCAGTATTGTCACGTTTAAAGTTAATGCTTATGTTGAGCGCATGTTTCAGTACATAGATAACTTATTTTCTAGGTTCTGTACTTTTGTTGACAAATTCTGATGAATATCTACTTTCGGCCGGTATTTTCTAAACAGGGCTAGCTTTTCTACGACCTCAAGATTGCAGACTTTACGGATTCATATAGCGAGAGGTGTAGTCAAATTATTCCCCATATCGGTTGAGGCTTAGGTATAAAAGATTGCTTAGTGATCTTTCCATCCAGGTCTTCCGTAGATTGCTCTGTGTAAAAATCCTTCACGTTTCTTTATCACCTCATAGCATCTAGAAAGTTGAGGTTCTGTCTGTTTTTTACTCTATAAGTAAGTTTAATTGCTAGTTGAAGGCTGTTGAACATCTAAAAAAAATACAATTCAGGTTGCACATCGTAAATAATCGTAGCATCATCTACGTACATTTTGTATGGATGAAAATCGCTGATAGTGGGTTTCACTTGGCATTTTTTCAGAATAGCCATAAGCCAGATTGCTAGCAATGAACCTAAAAGAAGACCTTTGATAGTCTTTTTTTCAATTGTGTGGATAAGTACAACATGCTTCGGAAGGTTTTCTCGTTTTCGTCCCGCCTTTATTTTTGGCAAGTAGTAACTCTTAGCAAACTTATTATGGATTATCGCTGTCTAAATAGTATATATATACAATTGTACAACTGAGAAGATTAAGTCCTCAAGGGATAGACCGCTTGGCTGAAGAATTTCCGTTTTTATCTTCCCCACTACTTTTTTCTGTGCATTCAAAACGCCGTTGAACTTAAAGAAAGTGGTGCTAAGCCCAAATAATAGTTGAACTTGTAATACGACGGGACGAATTATTACAGTTGTGGTACATTTTAGAATTCTCGACTGTGTTGTGTTCTGCGTTCATCAAAATGTCCAGCCCATCTCAAGAAGTAAGGCTTTCACATCAAAATCGTATCGTTCATCATTTATTACTTGTTTATTGTCTAGTAAGTGTTCTTACTTAGTTTTTAGTTCGTTTAAACCCTCTCTAGAGATATTACACAAATTTATCTTTTATAATACTTTAAGTATCAGCAAACCTAACAAGATAAAATTCCTTTGTCAACTAATATGGGATTGTAAGTAGACTTTCTTGTAAATAACAACCATCTTGCACAAGCAATCCACAATTTTTCAAAAATAAGGTCTTACTGTGTTGCACTTGATATTATTCTTATTAAACCTCTCAAGCAGTTAGAGTTCATCCTCAACTATTAATTGTTCATTTTTACATGAAAAGAGCTGCTCTGAAAAATGAAATGTATAGCTAATTCATCTTATGATGCTTTTGCAAATAATAATATTTATTTCGAATAGTAAGGTGGATTAACGTGTTGCGCGATTATTTAACCCCCGTGAGTTACGTTAACTTAAACAAGCTTTGTCATAGCGAACCAATATATAAAGACAAGTAGTACATCAATCATTTCATCATTTACATTTGTGCGTGGTGCATCCACATGTCATGAAACACTCTTCTAAGTGTAACCAATCAGTTTCTAGCTAAAAAACCTGTTGTGAATATTAATGAGATTAGACTATTTACCATTTTCACACACATCATAATCATATTCATTCTTACTACTTTTCTCATGTTTCAACCACCAGAAGACAATCATTCTTTCGTTTCTCTATCAAGCATACAATCAAGAGCATCCACTCTAACCAATAATTCACGTAGAAGAACCAAGTTTCCTCATCGTATTATTGATAATTTTCAAAAATGGGCTTTTAAATCGTCCAGTCAAAAAACGTCTCACACTTCAAGTATATCTTCATTAAACTCAAGTCGTTTACCAAATGATAACGAATTAAGTGACAGCTGTGACTTAACTTCTTTCACCATATCTGAACGTGAAGAAAGCATTGTTTCCGAAGTAATTCGTAACCGTAAGCAACTAGAATCCTTGGTTTGTGGTCATTCTGATTTTGTTCGCAATCACGACTCACTATCTATCGATCCAGGTATAGTTGTAGTTCTCTCTAACCATCTTAGGCGTTGTTCACTGTTATATATCGGCTTTGGAAATGGCTGAACTGGAATTACGAAGCCAAGTTCCTTTAGATTCAAATGGAATGTTTAAAATGGAACAAGTTAATCATTCCAAGAATAACCTGGGTCGGATACTGAGCGTTCGTAACCCATATCGAAGAATGAGACTACTTAGCCCCTCCCCATGTGTTTTGGCTCCAAATGGAAGAATTTCAAACTCAGTAAGGTGTACCAAGTTACCAAATCAATATTTTTATTTACTATAACTATTATTCTAAATTATAAATTTTTTTCTTTTTTCGCAATAGAATATTGAAGAAGATGCGCGACTGGGGTTTGCAAATCTACCTGAACAGATGCACAGGAAAGCTGTCAAGAAGGGCTTCAATTTCACTTTGATGGTTGTCGGTGAGTTAATTTAATCCGGCACTTGCGGTGTCCATACCTTATGACAAGGAAATTTCTCATGAATTTAATATTGGGTTGAATAGCTTTTTCATGTTTAACCTTCATAACAATTGACTGTGTTCATTTTAGTCTGTAAAATTAACTTACAATCAAAGTTACCTACTCACTCACTGCACAATCAACATTCCTTTTTACGCATCTACGGTTACATTTATCGTCAGTATCATATTTCGGTATAGTCTTGTTGGTGAGTCTCAATTGATATCTTTACATCACCTCTTTAACTATTAACGAACACTTTAGAATCTCAAAAAAATAGTTGTTAGCGTTGTTTTAAACCATACACCTAGCTAACACATTATTTTGTATTGATTCGAAGACATCAGTTGTTATTTTGGAGGGGGTTAATGAACGAATTTCGTGTTTTTAAAACAAATGAATAGAATATTCGTCGTGTAGATGATGTGGAATAATAGAACGTGACCGATTGTTGGTTGCTCATGAGACCAGATTATTGACTCAGTCTCCTGAATGAACTGATATAAAATACAAGACCACAGGTATAGAAATCTTGAACACAACAATAAATATGATTAGACGTTAAGACATTCAATCACTCCGTCCACTTCTGTTTAGGGTAAACGCATTTACAAGATGCTGCTAGCCACCTAATAGTTAACTCTCAGTTTTAACTCTTTAAATAAATTCATCTCCTACCCAGAGATTTAATACCTTGAGGTACAAAGACAACACAAACCTGTTTGTTAAAGATATAATTTGATGGTGCAGAAATATTTCATCAATTTTAGTGGATTGATAGGAAATAAACTGTCGGAACACTCACTTTTGTAAATGTAAGGTCCCGAAGATTTAGCGAAGATGTCCATCTGCCCATTGAACCATGGCAGATAGGTCTGTAAACTTTAATCTGCTTAAGTAATCAGAAGATATTATTTCGCACGACTAATCATCGTCTTCTGGTTAACGTACACTTTAATTAAAGAAAGGTTTTCTATCAACCACTAACTCCACTGACTTTCAATGTTAGCTGGTCGATGTGTCGAGTTTAACCGTACAGGTCTGTCAAGCAACTGTAATCAGTGGGATGTGAGTCGAAATCGGTTATAGTGGTCAGATTCACACACTTTTAATCTTTAGCGTTTAAACTTGTTATTCTACAGACCCCCTTCTCTAGCCTTGTCTCTTTTTCATTTGCATTCTCAGTTTCCCAGTGGCATTGGTATGACTATTTTCAGTCATCTGCCTTTCTCCTCTTGATTTTCCATTATAACACCCGTAATATGTACTCATTTTTACCAGGTTTTTACTTTATTCGTGGATCTATCTAATTTATACCATTTTTATACCATTTAAAACCTATAATTATCGCATTTTTATGTTACTGTTATTTGGTGACTGATATAAATTAATTCGATTGATTTCTAAATGCTGCTCTCAGGTGAAAGTGGTTTGGGCAAATCAACTCTAATTAACAGCTTGTTTGTCCAAGATTTATACAAAGATAGAGAAATCATTGAAGCAAATAATCGTGTTCAAAGCACAACTCAAATTGAAAAACGTCAAATTGAATTGGATGAGCGTGGAGTCAAGTTACGCCTTACTGTTGTCGATACTCCCGGTTTTGGTGATGCTGTGAATTGCAATGACTGGTAAGTTTATCATGTATATAATCTTAGTTTACTTCTATGTCAAACTCTTAACGTTAGTATAATAGAATATGTGATACTTTTTTTGATGCTACCGCCATACTATTATTTCGTTAAATTAAATAATATTTAGTGACTGACAACTTGATTTGTTCTTTCTCATATTATTTTCTTTCTATAATATCAAGTTTAAGAACTTCCATTATAGACTAAGATTAGCTAGAAAAGTGCATATATCAAGCAGTGCTAGACTATTCTTTCATCTTAATTCCAGACGTTAATCGGTGGATACTCACAACTCATATTCGACCGAACTCAAAGCCTTTATGCCTCATGGATATCACAACTACCAAGTCCAACCTATATTATACAGGCAACAGAATTTCACGAAAATTTAGAAAATCCATGTCTATACACTAGTAAATACGTAATTATTTAGTATGTTCTTCTGTGGAAATTTTCTGAAAGTTAAGCTTCATGATATGCTGAAATCAACCGGTAAACTCATTGTATTTTTCCTAATGCTGAGAAGTCTAAAACTCAGATAAGTCGATTCTCCGCTGTTCTTCCTGGTTTTCATTACTTATCTAGATAACATCAATCTGTAAGATTTTTCAGTAAACAATGTATCTAAATGTAAGTTTTAAAATTGTGTAGGGTTCGTTAAAATATAATAATAATATTATATATCATTTCATCCAAATAATTTTAATACTTTTGGTAAGTAACTAGATTTCCAGGGGTTGAACTTCTACCGGGAGGTACACTTGTTGACTTAGAATATGCTGATGACATAGTTTTATTTGTTGAAGACGCTGACAAAATGCTGAGTCTTCTGACCACTCTAAGCAACAATGCAAGCATGTTCGGGATGCGATTCTCCCTCTCGAAATGCAAAATGTTGCTTCAGGATTGGGTTGCATTGACATCCGAACTAATGATAGGGAGTGAAGTAGTTGAGCGTGTCGATCGCTTCACTTATCTTGGAAGTCTCATCAGCCCTTGTGGTCTGGTGTGTGACGAAGTCTCAGCACGGATACAGAAGGCTCGACTAGCTTTTACCAACTTGCGTCATTTATGGCGTAGACGAGATATCCGTCTATCAACCAAAGGACGCGTTTACTGCGCAGCAGTTCGTTCCGTCCTACTTTATGGCAGTGAAACATGGCCGGTAAGAGTAGAGGATATCCGTAGGTTACTAGTATTCGATCATAGGTGTCTTCGAGGGATTGCTCGTATATCCTGGGACCGTCGAGTAAGTAACGCAGTTGTTAGGAAACGGGTACTAGGTAAGGATGGCAAATCATTTGCTGAAATAGTGAAAATTCACCAGCTGAGATGGGTGGGACACGTGTTACGTATGCCCAACGACCGACTGCCTCGATGTGCGATGTTCATTGGTATAGGAGAAGATGGGAAGAAAGGTAGGGGCGGTCAGACCAAAACATGGCACAAGTCCATGAAGTCACTGTCAAGTGGACTGAGTCATGTTGGTAGGTGTAGACTACTTGGTTGGGGACCACGAGATGATAGCAACCGATGGTTAGAGACCCTGAATGACATGTCTCAGAATCGTTTGCAATGCCGCAGGTGCATACACTCTTTGCGTTCTCCCAAATTTTGATCTCTTTATTCCTTCTTGTCTCTTTTTTCTCTTCCCAATTTTATTTCACTGTATTATACTCTTTAAATAACATCTCCAAACACTAATTTTCCCGATTACTGCTTATACTCTTATTACCTCTACCACTACGGGATTTGAGTCGACCACTGCATCTGTGTGCTAATGTGGTGTGGCAACTCGAACTGATGTACGTACGTACAAAGTTCTACGTTGTTACTGACTGAAGTAACTGAGCACTTTCCAAGATGCTGATCGTTTTGAAGGTTTGTTTGTGGGTCACTTATCTTATTATTCAAACTTCTAGTCAGAACTGATAATTAACACTGATTGCTTTTTCTTTTTCAAGCTATATTATAAAACGACTGTTTATCTGAGATGTGTTTAAAACTCGTGTTAACCTTTTGTTTTGTACTTTTTCTTAGTTGGAAACCAATAGAAGATTACATAGACAGCACATTTGAACAATATTTTAAAGATGAATGTGGTCTGAATCGTAAAAATATTCATGATCATCGAGTTCACTGTTGTTTGTATTTCATATCACCATATGGTCATGGGTAAGTAAATGAACTTTATTTGTTAAGATGTAGTTTGATAATTTAATTAGTCCATCAGATTAATGCCATATTGATTGTATATATATATTCAAATCAATACGATATATATATTGAATTCGTACCAGTTACCGTTTTTCTAACCTGACATGTTCATGTAATCTAGTTGTTTTCATTAACAAAATGTAGATTCACTGTTCTGTAGTATCATTTTTTATTGTATTTCTGTACATTGGTAGGATTGAATGATTGTTTTTGTTACATAATCAAAGCTTGAGGTTATATTAGGTGAATACTTAAGTCATTTGCATATGTAAAATCATGTGATAAACACTAACTTACTTGCTAACATTCTTGTTTAAGTTTATATATACGTAGCTATCATTTAGTTAAAAAAAATTAATTGATTTAGTATTAATGCAGTGTAGAATTGTCGAATTGCCAATTCATTAAGACTAGTCCTAGTTATATTTCTAAGCTAAAATCATTCTTCTGAGTTCATTTTCTTTTATTAGTCCGTAATAGGTTGATAGAAATGCTTGTATGGTGTTGAAGTTATTCATAACTTTTCAAGTAAAACAAACTATGGTATAGAAATTCTCATCTTAATGTATTTTTTTAAGGAATTTATTGTTAACCTGTTGAGCTATGAGGAATATTTGTTGTGAGCACAAATGAAATTAATAACTGTCATATATAAACAGTGACATATTATGATTTTATTATAACAAGAGGAGATTTACAAGAGAAAAATCTAGCTATTTTTAATTAATATAAACGAATTTATTTTGAAATTGTAACCGATTATTTCAAGACTATAATCATAACTGTGTATTAATTATTTGATAAATTTGTTGCGAAATATTTGAGACACTATCGTATGCTGATTATTATTTAACATGGATTGGAAATTAATCAGAAATTGAATTATTTCAGTGTTTATAACTAGAGTAAATTTCTTCTCTAAACAAATAACTAGAGAGAAGGAGAGAATAGTCAAAGGTTTTGAGAAATCTCTTCCTTCTTTGTGTATGTTAACGACTAATGGTTTAAAGTATAATTTAAAACTCAAAATTTAGAGAATGGATCTTCTTTTTGTGGGGATTCATTATCAAACTGTACAACCGTGTATGGAAATTTGAGGATTACTTCCGTAAAGAAATATAAAACAATAAAATAAACATGGGGATGCAATAGTAGGATTTTAATACTAAATTATATAATGCAAATAGTAATAAAATTTTGAGTAACTTCTACACAAATTAAGTATAATTGTTTATCTTCTTCGGTTTTACATGAAAGCTAGAAAAATTATCACAAACTTGTACACCCAATTTAAGTTAATTTACTTAACGTTAAAGTCGTTCCCTATCCAAGTGTTTAAGACAAGATAGCCAATTAAGTATCCAGGCTATTAAAGGACTTATCATTATCTTTTAAATATTGTTGTTACTTTTTTGACCTATTTTAATTCCCGGATATTGATGTGAGAAATTTTTTAATTTTTTATTTTAATTCAATTTAGTTTACGCCAAATAGATGTTGAATTTATGCGCCGTCTTCAACATAAAGTCAACATAGTCCCTGTAATAGCTAAAGCTGATGCATTGACTGCTAATGAATTACGTGCATTTAAAGAACGCATAATGGCAGATTTTGATCGTTATAAAATTGATATTTATCGTTTACCTGAATGTGACAGTGATGAAGAGGATGAAATCAAACGTTTAGATAAAGAAATCAAAGTTAGTTAAACATTCATTCATTTATGTGGTAGTTCTGTCATAGTAATCGGTGTTTGAGGCGATAACGTGTCCTGAAAAAAATACTAATTTGTGTATAAATGACTGTAATTGTTAAGGGACTTTTTTAGCCACATAGTCTTCAACTGAAAAGCCATTGTTGCTTCTTTCTAGTTTGCGACTCCTCAATACTATGACAGCTTAAATCTCAATTGACCCGTGCATTTCACCGATTCTCCAGTTGATAATCGATTCCTGAATGAATGTCATAAAATTACTTGAATAAACCCTAGATTCTACGTTGCTTATGACTGACCTATAAACTACAAATATATAATCACTATTCGATTCCAACGTTTAATCTCCTTATGATTGATAATAATTCGTGTAAATTTCGAAAAATTTTGTATTTTATAGGGAAGTTATATTTATATTCACACATTTGTTTGCATAAGATATTACAGATTCAAAATTACTCAAGCTTGCTTGAAACGTTACAAGATCCTTAAAATCAGTATTAGAAAATAAAGTGTTTATATTTATCCAAGCTTATCTATTTGTTAATCATCTCATAACGTTAGCTCTATTGATGTCTTCATGAATCATATGTCTAACAACTTCAAAGTATCAGTGCTATACAAAAATTTTCATATTCCATTTGTAGATGAGAAATACATTTACTATAAATTTATTGTCTCCTTTAAGAGTAATTAGGCTAAAATAACTTATATATGAAAATTATGATAAGAAGACCAGACAAGTCTGTTGGACGAAACTTCGTAATTGCTTAAATACCAATCGACGAGATTATTTCAAATATAATTTCCACATATAATGGCTTGTCGATACTCAGCGCCCAATTTTTGTCAAAATATTCGTTCTAACATTGACGAATATTCGTATAAAATAACTTCTATTGTTCCGATGTGAAGTTGCATTTCTCAAGCTCTAAATAGTTATCTTTTTTTTCGAATAGGCTGTTCTACCTTTCGCTGTCGTCGGCAGTAATTGTGTTATCGATTTAGATGGTAGTCGTCGAGCTCGTGGTAGACAATATCCTTGGGGATCAGTTGAAGTGGAGAATAGTCGTCATTGCGATTTTACAAAGCTGCGTATATTTCTGCTAAAGTAAGCATACTACTGTCATTTGTATTCCATAGTCAGTTCACTTCCTATACTTTAAAATTTATTGATACTGATTTCTTAGACGTATTATTTACTATGAATATGACACTACTATCGGTACCAAGAAAAGTTTCCAACACAGTGTTGCTGAACCGGATGAAAGACTCAATCGACGCAAAACTTCGAGATCAACAGGCTGGATTTCGCAAGGATCGGTCATGCACAGACCAAATCGCGACACTACGGATCATCGTTTAATAGTCAGTTGAGTGGAACGCGTCATTATACATCAGCTTCCTTGATTATGAGGAAGCATTTGACAGTGTGGATAGGAGAACACTGGAAACTTCTTCGACACTATAGTGTGAGTACCTGAGAAGATCGTCAACATCATCCGGAATTCATACGACGGACTACCCTGCAAAGTGGTGCATGGAGGACAACCCACAGACGCATTCCAAGTGAGGACCGGAGTCAGACAAAGCTGCTTACTCTCCTCCTTCCTCTTTCTTCTAGTGGTCGACTGGATTATGAAGATCTCGACATCTGAGGGAAAGCACAGAATACAATGAACAGGTTGGATGCAACTACACGATTTGGATTTTGCAGATGAACTGGCTCTTCTATGCCATACACACGAATAAGTGCAGATGAAGACAGCCAGTGTAACAGCAGCTTCTACATCAGTAGGCCTCAACGTACACAAGAGAAAAAAGCAATATCCGGAAATACACAACACGGAGAACACCAACCCAATCACACTTGATGGAAGATGTGGAATCTTTCACGCACCTGGTCAGCACCATCGGTGAACGTGGAGGATCCGATACAGACGAGAAAGTGAGGATTGACAAAGCAAGGACAGCATTCCTACAATTGAAGAAAATATAGAGCTCAAAACAACTGTCAGCCAATATCAATGTAATGATCTTCAATACGAACGTCAAGACAGTTTTGCTATACGGAGCTGGAATCCTGAAGGAAAAGAGAAACTAGGGAGACCAAGGAACACATTGAGTCGAGCATTGGAAGTAGACATCAAAGGGATGAATAGTAACTGGAAAGGATTGCCCGGGACAGAGTTGGATGGAGAGTGTTGGTGGGCGACCGATGCTCCTCCACGAGGGATAAAAGCGTAAAGTAAGTAAGTAAGTAAGTAAGGTTTATTGTCAAAAGTATGTATACTTAATATAAATAAAGGCAATTATGTTAACCTATCGCAACATAGGATCTGGCATGAACGACTAAGGATTCACATCAAACCTCGAATTATTACGATTAGAAGAATGGTAGTGGTATCCAGCTCAGAGAACAAGACTCCATCAAAATCACTCATGTGAGCTACAAATCTTCTCCACCATCTCAAAAAGGTATTATTTGGTGTTTACTCTAACGGAAACAATAAAAAGGGAATAACGGGAAATTGAAAAGTACGTAACAAAAATGTATTTAAGATCTGGAAGACAATAAATGACCAATTACTGTCGACTTGGGACCGCTTCATCCATAAATTGATCTTATAGGTCAAATTTACTAAACATTCGAAATTATAGCACAGGCGTACAAATGATATATGGTTCGGTAACGGAACTGAAAAACAATGAGTCCATTACAAGTTGTTAAGTTGATTATATTTTCTTTTTCTAGTTATTATTACCATTTAGATTTTTTTCACAAGCAGAGAAATTATTAGTGTTTCATCAAAAAATTTGCTTTTTTTTGACGACAGACTTTGTTTTATTCCTTGTTATTCTCCTTAAAATTAATTTTAGGACACATATGCAGGATTTGAAAGATATGACATTGGATGTGCATTATGAAAATTATAGAGCGAAATACATTACTGAACGGATGTCTAAGCGTCAAAGCGATCGTCGTGAAGGTGTTGGTACTGGAGCGTATGTTATTCACTTTGAAAACAATTTACTTATTCTATTTATTCATATTCTTTCATTCAGTCATCCATAAAGTTTGAGTTGTATAACAAAAATTCCTAACTGGAATAATACATTTTCAACATTTCTAGCCGGGTTAAAGACAAAGTATTTGATTTCCACCCACGATGTATACACTTAACAGTATCCGTACTGTTTTTCTCATATGTTTGTTGCTTTTTCACATTTCTTTACTAATAGTCGGAAGTCTTTCTGGACATTTATCATCAACTTCCAATTACCTATTTCTATCAGATATATTGATGGTACTTATTGTATCGTTGTAATGTGCATCTTTCGTGGTATGGAAGTAAAATTTCGTAGTAAATATTTTTACTTCTCATATTCAATTATAGGCTCATTTAGTGGATTGGGGTTTGTTTGTTGGTTATTCAAATTGTTATTGTCGTATATCTTTCCGATTTTAAGTATGTATGGCTTGTATTTGTATTATTTAAAACTCTTGGTGTTATATTTTAGTTCAGCCTGATCAAAATTTCGCTGATCTCTTCAATCTGTGGACTTTTTTGGATATGAATGTCTTACTTTGACAGCATGATGTAATCCTTTTCTCAAAATCATAGCCACTTACCATGAACTAAGAAGCCTACAGTTACATTTTATAAATCTGTGTATATTGTCGATTTTCACATTGTGATAAATCTCCTTCGAAAAGTGCTTTAAAGTTCAATATTTAAATATATACAATCTGTACTAATGAACAAGTTTACCCCATCTAACTTTATCACAGAAAAATTTTAAAAAATACAAGATTTATCTCATACCAGTAAATTATAAGTGATTTCTACTGGGTTCAGGTTGCTTTTTTATGATGCCGCACTTACAGTTTTACACAGTTCAGGGTTGCGGTACTTGTTTTGTCAATGTCAGCCTTTTGTTTCCTATGAATTGTCATCATTCTCTTATCATTTTAATTTGCTTACTGTGTTAAAGAGAATTTGATGGGTTCTTTTAAGGATAATGAACTTCATTTTGTGGTGCGATCTGTATGTTGGCTTCATTTCTTCGCTTTGGATGTTATCAATTATCTGTATGAATGTTTTTTGATGAATTTCAGTCTTAGAATTTTTTTCTCTTACTTTTCGAACCTACTCATTGTTGAGTAGTATAGCAATTGTTATAGTTGATAGGATATAGTTGTGTTGATTTTCATGTTTGAATCTTGGTCAGTGGCCTATGCTCTTCCATGAGAGGTAACAGGAGTAAATAAGTAAGTAGGTTAGGTCTTAATCTTTCATTTGTGAATTATGCATCGTATAATTGATACCTGTTCATATTTTTATATAAGTAAATCCTTTAAGATATATCTTGGATTTAACTCAAGGTGTTTATGGAACAAACAAGTAAGCAACTTTGAATGTCTAAGACTAGTACTTTCTGGATAGGAATAAATATTTGCAAAACTCTCCATTCCGCTTGACGATCTGCTTCACTCTTAGAGAAACAATCGGAATTATCGAATATATATAGAATACTGAGCGAATCTTTGAAGTTATTTTAATTTAAATCACTGAGATTTTGCAGATAAAACTCATCTTTAATGTCCTCTATGAGTTTGACGTTTAAATTTTATGGTCCGATTCGTTTAAATTTATTTGAAGGTCCCCATAAAATTGTATCGTTTTTTGAACATTTATTTTTTTTTATTTATATAGTTTCAATGGTAATCATTTAATATACTCCCTTTTGTCTACTTGTTGATAGATTGGCAAGATTAGAAAAAGAAGGTGGAACTGGCTTTGAGGCTATTGTTGATCAAGATAGTTTACTGAAACAGAAAGAGGAAGAGGTTAGTCAAGTTATAAACTTTTGTTGTGGTAACATATGTTGTGTTTGGACATGTTATTTCCCAGTCTTTAAATTATAAGATTATCACCTTTAAAAAAATGAAACATAATATTGTGATTCCTCACGTTTACAGCTTCCATAATATGTAATCTGAATTATTTCATACAAATATTTCCGAATTTTGTGAGCTTATGGTCTTGCTAATCCACAGTATTTTTGTCATACATCATTATTCATTTATTTACGTCCGTCTTTATTCAAAGAAACAACTTTTAAAATGTCTTTACCGTACAGTATTCTGAATGTATGTGGCATTAATTATCGTGGAGTTTGTGTGCTAAATTGTTGATGTTGCTCTTTTTTAGTATCAACTATATCATTTGTTTAATATCTACATCAGCTTGAATTACTCAGTGTTCCTAAAGAGTTTTTACTCTGGTTCATATAAGTTATCAGTTTATGATAATAAACTTTACTACATTCCAAAATATAGGCACATAGTTACCTGTCGTATCTTGAGTAACTTCTGTTGTGTGATGGTTACAAGTCCTATCTCAATCAAAGTGAGCCAAATGGGACTGAAATGTACAGCCGTGTCATTGTAATATAAATAGCAAAAATTTTAAATTATTTTTAATTTATTAGTGCTAACTCGTACAGTGACGTGGCTGTCTTTGAATTCCTAATCACCAGTGATGACTGACAGGAGTTGATTGGAAGAAAGCTAACCGGAACTAGACTGAAGTGGTGAAATCAATTCTCATAGTCATTGAATGTCTGACGCTTGTTGATAGTAACTGACTACCTGGTTGGAGTGAGAGCGATAATCGCGACTAATGATTAGGAACGTTGGATGAAGACCTAAAATCGACCACAATATTTGAGTCCAATTTGTTCCTTATCTTCAACCAGACCCCTAGTTACTGTATTATTTCATAGTTTGTATTGTTGTACATGATTTTTTACGGTTATTAGTCTTATTACCCTACTACCAACGTTCCGACTCTGTACATACATTTTGTTTCATTTGATCTCGTTGTGCTGAAGTTGTCTGTTTCAGATTATACACAACGTAAATCCTTTAGGGATTTCAATGGTTTATCTTTCTAGGTAGATCATATTCATGCAAACTGTTCAAAATTGGCGATTGAAATGACTATTCATTTTAAAAGTTACTCAGATCTGGTTAACAAATTTCGTTTATGCTCTTTTACTATACATGCTATTCAATGAACTTGATAACATCTTAGGTAATTGTGGTGTAATGTGTTGTCTTGAATGGTAAAATTAAATTTTTGTCTGTCACACGACTTGTTCGAAATCGAACACTTTTTTATACGTTATCTTCATCAGTAAAAACATCCTTCGAATGTATTATCAATAATCATATTAGCCTTAAAATTGTTTACGTTCACGGGTATTTTCTAAATGTTGTCTAATGTAAGACGATGTTTATCCAATGTTCTGTTAAATTAATTGATTATAACTTATATAACGTAGTTAAAATGATTAGATTTCCTTGTTGCCTTTAACTCATTAGTATATACTGAATTTTATGTAGAGTTAGTTTTATATATTTATGTCATACATTCCATTGTAATTTATATCTTGATTAAATTTTTCATTGATTCTACTGAGTTTCATTCATTTGCAAAATAAATCAGTTTCCAATAAAAAGAACAGTGTAACCAGTTTCAGTTAATAATCAATCTCAAATAATATTCAACGTCTTGGAATGAATATGTATCGATCTAAATTGACGCTCATCGCACACTGGGGAACAGAAAATTAAAACCTATGGTATTTGTTCCTTTTCAAGAACTTTGAATATTCACTACAATTCTTATAGTGCGAAGCGTTTGCAGGTTGAATAGTAGAAAGTTGAATAATATTACATAACAGCTTCGTCGATTATATCATAATAGTTACTCATTTTTTTATCGGTATTAATCAAACCTTTCGAAAACTTTATTATTGTTGGCATATTGATAAATATTTTTCGGTATATATATTTTTTCTCTAGCTTCAAAGAATGCAACAACTAATGAGTAAAATGCAAGAACAGTTAAAACGTAATACCAATGTTGTACCGAACGCATCAGTCGGTTTAAATAATGGTACAAGTAATACTCAATCTTCTCCTATTCCTGCAACTGGTCAACAAGCTTCTTGAATACAAAAAAGTATATAGGTTGTCTAGTATTCAAAATCCCGTTATCACATTCATTTATATCTTATTATTTCGCTTAAAATTCAGTCGATTAGGTCGGAATATAGTCAATATGATGTGCTAACAATAAATATTTTGTCGTTTATACTAATAAAACTATTACTTCTTTCTTTTTTTTCTTGAATCTATACAATATAGTCTAATTAAATTGTTTGTGTCTACTTATGTTTATTCAATTACCGGTTCCATATAATTTTTTTTTCAATAAAAAAAAACTAGACAGAAATTTTCTTTCTTCTTTTTATTGAACTTATTACATTACATATTCTCAGTTTTTAATTATGTTCACATCTCATTAAGAATAAAGATAGAACAAACTGTTAATTTTCAATTCTACTGATGGTATATTGTTTTTTTTTAATTATCTCTCTCAATTTTTGCAGTTCATCATAAAGTTCTTCCTTCTTTTCTGTTTTTAATTAATCATGAATGTGCATTTTATCTTACCTTTATTATATATTGAATCAAATCCATTGATTACTTCCTTTTCATTTTATTCATCTAGTCTAGCTTATTCGTGTTTTTTTTTACTTTGTGGTTACAACAATTCCTGTTACACTTTGTTAACCAAAAATTATATTATTTGATGTGAAAAACAAACTTTATATTTTTTATCTGTGTACGCATTTTCATACTTTTTGTTAAATTTTGTCTTTTCACTTCATTTTATTATTTCGTTTAATTACTTAAAAAAAATGAGGTGAATAAACCATGCCTATCACAATGTCAAATAATTGTCAATGTCCTAAAAATACTTACTGTGCTCAGTTATTATTATTTTTTTGCTGTGTCAAGTGGGTTATTTTTTCCTCTTTATGAACTTAGCTGTTTAGAATTGACGATTTTGTGTAAAATATTTATGTATGCGTAATTAGTATCTCCCACTTTACTTAATACCTAATTAGGAAAGTGCTAAAAAGCTAATTTTTGGTCATTTGTAAGATATTACTGTTTCACCATTTCAAATGTCACCCAAGATTAAAAGTTTCTGTATAATGAGCTCAGCTTATATAATCTCGGTTTTACGAACATCAATTTCTACAGTTTCCGCTAATTCAAAAGAAATGTCTACAAATGTAATTACAGTCACAAAAAATCCTCGGAAACTTAATAGATTATCGTCTCATATTAAAAATACTTCAGAAATAATCCCTAGGATCTTGAGATTAGTATTTCTAACAAACCAACTCAAGAACCTTATTCCAGTCTCTTTAGACAAAAAGACATACAGGCGAAACAGGACGTCGTACTGCTGACTGTACAGAGATGTGACAGTAGTACGGTGTTTCCCTCGGGCGGCCAGCATCTGCAGCGGTGCTGCCTTCCCACAAGGAGGGGTGGGGTTAGATGCTGCCTTCTCACGGGTAAGGGTTAGAAAAGGTCGACCCTAAAAATGCCACACCCCACGGATTTCCATCTCCAAGTTGGTCACGAACAATCATTCCTACACCTCCTAATAACTCTCTTATCTCCACGACCAACCCTTCTCACGTCCCTTCATTATCTAGCGCCACTAATGCAAACGATTTAAGTGCGTGGAACGTTATTCCCGGTCTCCTGAAACCACGCTCTAAACTACACGTAGGAGTTTTTAACGTACGAACACTTTGCCAAATAGGACAGCAGGCTTCCTTAGCTAGGACTTTAGAATCTCGCGCCATCGATGTGTGCTGCGTCTCCGAAACGCACATACAGGACCCGAGTAGCGTCATTCATCTGACCTCACCATATCAAAATAAAGAGCCAACTTGATTCACACTTCATGTATCTAGTAGACTTGATCCTGCTTCCCGTGTCCTCCTTTGTGTAGGTGTAGCATTGAGTCCTAGGACAGAACAAGCTGTCTCAGACTGGATCCCAATAGACAGTCGTTTGTGCACTGTCCAACTGATCGGAACAGTAAGGACTCGGAAAGATAGGGACACTCGTCGTTGCCTCTTCGTCATCTCTGCCTATTCTCCCACTGACTGCAGCTCAGATAATGTAAAAGATGAGTTTTACTGAAAGCTCTCCGACCTTCTCCGAAAAGTTAGGTGCTCTGATGTAGTAATTAGCGACTGGTGACTTTAATGCTCAAGTAGGTAAACTAAACGAAAGGGAAAGACACCTAGGTGGATCTAATAGCGTCGTGGCTCAAAGCATAGATAATGGTGACCGTCTGTCGCAGCTATGTTCAGATAACCGCCTGTTTCTAACGAACACTAACTTTAAGCATAAGCAAAAACATATTTTGACATGGTGACCCCCTAATTCGTCCCAACGTTGGACCCAACTAGATCACATCGCTATCAGCCACCGATGGGGGGGGTCTCGACAGAAGACTGTCGCTTGTTCTGGAGCACATATTCTTGTGCGAGCATGTATTTGTCTACGTCTTATTGGACGTAGGAAAGACGCCGCAAGGAAACCTCCTAGAGTCCTACTTGATGATAGCCAAGCTAAGGGTGTATTTCAGGAACAACTAGAAAAACAGTTGGGCAACCATGTAAGTGATGCCCATCCCGAGGCAGCGTGGAATGACATCCGAAAAGCTGTGGAAACAGCAGTGATATCTGCTAGTAAGGTAAACCATAAGGTTATGGGGCAACACTGGATCTCAGCAGCATCTACCGCACTGATAGATACTCGAAAACTTATCCCATCTGGCTCTGAACTTTACGAAAAGCGGAGTCAGCTTAAGCGCAGGCTGGTAAGAAGCCTACGCAACGGTCGCGAACAGTGGTGAGTAGCAAAAGCAAGAAAGCTAGAAAGGCAGCGGCAATAAGTAACAGCAGATAATTATTCAGGCTTGTCAAGGAAACCGCTATTAGGAATTCAACTGTTAGCGAAACAATCTCAGAGAAAGATGGACATATTATTCATTCTCAATCCACGAGATTGGATCGGTGGGCAGAACACATTAAGGATCAGTTCAACTGGCCTTCAGCCACACTTCGGTTCCCCACGATCTCCAGTCAACCTGAATGGCAAGTTAATGTAGATCCTCCGGCTCTTTACCAAGTCGATAAAGCTATAGAAAATCTGAAGCAAGGGAGAGCAGCAGGCTCTGACAGGTTTACTCCTGAGTTTCAAGGATAGCAGTCCAGTATCAACAGGGAGATTGTCTGAGGTCTTAGGTAGAATCTGTGAACTGGTGTGTGACGAAATTTCAGCACGGATACAGAAGACTCGACTAGCTTTCGCCAAATTTTGTCGTTTATGGCGTAGACGAGATATCCGTCTATCAACCAAAGGACGCGTTTACTGCGCAGCAGTTCGTTCCGTCCTACTTTATGGCAGTGAAACATGGCCGGTAAGAGTAGAGGATATCCGTAGGTTACTAGTATTCGATCATAGGTGTCTTCGAGGGATTGCTCGTATATCCTGGGACCGTCGAGTAAGTAACGCAGTTGTTAGGAAACGGGTACTAGGTAAGGATGGCAAATCATTTGCTGAAATAGTGAAAATTCACCAGCTGAGATGGGTGGGACACGTGTTACGTATGCCCAACGACCGACTGCCTCGATGTGCGATATTCATTGGTATAGGAGAAGATGGGAAGAAAGGTAGGGGCGGTCAGACCAAAACATGGCACAAGTCCATGAAGTCACTGTCAAGTGGACTGAGTCATGTTGGTAGGTGTAGACTACTTGGTTGGGGACCGCGAGGTGACAGCAACCGATGGTTAGAGACCCTGAATGACATGTCTCAAAATGGTTTGCGATGGCGCAGGTGAATCCACTCTTTGCGTTCTCCCAAATTTTAATCTCCTGATTTCTCCATGTCTTTTTTCTCCATCCAAATTTATTTCACTGGATTATACTCCTTGAATAATATCTTCGAGCCCTAATGTTTCCGATTACTACTTATACTCTTACAACCTCTACCACTACGGGATTTGAATGGACAATTGTATTTGTGTGCTAATGTGGTGTGGCAACTTGAACTGATGTATGTACTTACGAAGTTTTACGTTGTTACCTGACTGACTGACACAGTCCACACGATGTAAAGTTACTTGGACCAGGGGCCAAACTACAACTTGATCGATAAAATACGATCAACGTTAAACCGGCATCTGGCATCTTTTACTACCCAGTGATTAGTTAGTTGCCAACTATTGTTAACTAAGGTGTGCAGGAATACCTTCTCAGTGCACTTATTTTTTCTCTCACAATAACGTGCAGTCAAAAAAGCAGTGAAAGGTACATATCAGTAATACATTTTGGTAATATTTACCAAGTAAATAGGCGTGGTGATTTTTATTAAGGTTTTGTGAGTAGACCGTCAAGAAATTCCCTCACTTTTCTGTTACCGTATAAAAATTATAAAAAAAAATTACTAACTCAAAGATACAAACATTTTTGAACTTTGTACTTATTGATTTTTTCAATTTTGAGGTAGATATGTGATTGAAATAAAGAAAAATAAAAACAAATCGTAAGTATAGCATGGAGCGATAGAAGGGGAAGCAAGCAACAAATAAAAGTTAATTTACTAATTTACGTTCGTAAAACTCAAAAGGTAATCAGTATTTAATTGCATGTAAATAAAAAGGCGGACAAAGTATAGATTAAAAATTGTCGAGATAAAAATAAATTACAGGACAAATCAACATAATCTGGTCAAGAAGTTCTTAGTTCTTTCATAGTTGACTAACAACAGTAATCGATAGCTCATAAATATACGTGAATAAAAACAATTACGACCCTATACATTTTGTACCTTAGGCTGTTGTGTTGTTGTTTGCTGACGATCCGGTTCATGAGTCAAATGATTTTGTTCTTTTAATTGTGCTTCACTAGCTAATCTTCTTAATTCCTCTTCATTTGTTTCAAACATATCCTCTTCATCTTGAGCAGTCTGAAAAAAGAAACAGTACACTGTTAAACAGTTATATGATTTATATGTTGTTATATAGGTAATATGTGTTACAAAGGAAATAAAGGGAAATCATACTTCCT